AATACTATTTTTTCTTTGTCATTTCACATTTTAAATACATACAGATGCAAATTTAGGATTTAGTTATTGCTCAAACAGCAGGGATGTTTCCTGTTGGGTGAGAAATGGAACAAAGATTTATTAAGCCACAAAACTCAGATTGGATTTGGACAGGGAAAGCCAGTGTCTGGTGGGTTTCTGTCATAAGAATATTCCTTTTTTTCATGTCCACCTGAAATGGAAGCTTCACTGTATCTCCTGTGCAGACTAGAGTGGTTGAGTTATAAACTTTCCCCCAGTGATGCCATACAAATTTTGTTCTTTGAACAATTAAAGCCAAGAAGACCAGAAAAGCACAATCACATCTCGATGGCCTCCATGCATTCATTCCCTGGTTGATTTTCTGTGTACTGATTATTCTCTGGGTGAGTAGAGTTTGCTGTTACTCAATTGTTTACATGATGGTTTATTCTTCCCCCAGTGGAGAGGACGACAGTGCAGGTACTAAGAGCTTTCTCTCAAGTGGGTTTCCCTGAGACAAGGATGCATTGAAGAGAAAGGGAATGGGGAAACAGAGCAGGGCATGTGGTTAAAGCTAACATCTACCTACTGCTTACCCCACAAAGTTGATGTCCCTCAAATCAAAGAAAGTGGCTTTTGTTGCCCCACCCTTCCACGTCAGGCAGTTCTTTTGTGGGTTGTAGAGTTTTAACCTCTGCAGTGAAGTTGATCCTGACAGGCTAAGGACAATCCTGCAGAAAAAGAGGCAGGTGGGAGCCTTTAGCTGCCAACTCTCCTAGCATGTGGGGGATGGCTGGGCCTGGGCAAAGGATTCTGAGTGGAGCACCAATAGCACCCACTTTTTGCCTTTTGTTTCTCCCCTTTTCAATCCATGCTTCACTCTGTTCACTATACCACCATTCTATTCAGAAATGTCAGTGACTCCTCACTGTCTAGAGAACACATTTCTGAATATCTATTGCTCTTATCTCTTAAATTTCCAATCTTTCTTTTCACTGCTTTTGCAGCTCTCCCTAAGTAAGCGATCCACCTTAGTCCTACGTATGTTGCCTAAGTTACTTCCCTTCCTCTCTACCTGACTTACTTTTTCAATGGTTCCTTCATCTTAAATGCTTTCTTCTTCATGCCTTGAAGTTAGAGTCAACAAAACTGTGATTTAGTCCCCATTCAAATACATTTGTGCTTGGGTAAGTTAGCCTCTTTCAATCTCAGTTTCTTTACCTTTAGAAGCGACTGTTCAGCTCCTAAGTTCAAATGAGATGCTGCATTTTAAAGCTTTATGAGCTTTATGAAACTCTCCCCAAAGTACTCACTTAGAAAGGGAGCTGCTCACAAGACCCTGTGCTCCCTTTATTTTATTAACTTTTTTTTGTATTTATTGTGTCAGCTCTTTGACATTTATCATAACTACACTTCACTTAGGAGGCAACAATATTGTTGGGCACACCATCTTCTTTGTAAAGACAGGTATCTTTGCTTAACCAGCCTCCATAATAGCTAATGTAGAAGGTCTTCCGTGGAATTTTTATAAATTAACATGCTTGTTTTTAAATAACAAAGCTCTTGACAATTCCTTGTGTCTGGACTATAAAACTATGCAAAGAAGGTGAGTTTGAAGCCCAGATAATTACAGTTGAAAAATCCAGGTAAGTTTAGGTTTACAGTTAAAACAGATACTTAGAAGCTGATAGTGATATATAATAAACAGTGATCAAAAGCTCACTGGAAAAGGGAAGTCTTTATTCAGGAGAGACCTCTAATTGAAATATATGTGGGAAGTGAATAATTCTAAGTTACCAATATATTAGCAAAGAAGTTCCCAAAAAGTTATCTCCCAATTATTTGCTTTTAAAAAAATGTATCAAGTTACAGCCAATAAAACATATTTTAAAAAGTACTTTCAATTTCTTTGGACCTTTTGAGTTTGTGTTACACACCCTTTCTCAAGCATGAAATATTTAGTTAGGATATCTGATTGGAACTGTAATGTCAAAGTGATCAGAATCAGTAGGTTCATGATAAATGCAGTACTACTAGGAGTTATTTATTATGTCCTTAGTGGCTGGGGTTCATGTTTTGAAGTGTGTTCCATCATGCCCCAAGGGTATTTATAGACCAAACTTCTTAGCGAGTCTGGCTTTCATGATTTCACTCCGTGTATTGGGTTTGTACAAGTGGCTACTGAACACCAGCCAAGATGATTCACTTTTTATCACAAGATGGAAAACTTCCATCATTATGGTTCTATCTAGAGGTATCTGTTTTCTGTTACTGGTTAAATACTAGTGACATATAAGGCAGTAAGAATACATGGAACATGTTACGATAAATAGTTGAGGACTGTTTAAAAATCTGAAACTTGGGATGGTAATGAAAAAATACAAGCGGACCATTTCACAATAAACTTGGCTTACTCATTTTTCTCCTTTACCTTCCATCAGTAACCCTAACTACAGAGATGAGAGAGGGAAAGAAATTGTGAAAAACCTAGAGAAATACCTAAATAGCCTTACTATCTACCGTAGTTAGCATTTATTTCCCCTTAAAGCAATTGATGGTTTAGTTATGTTTCTCAACTGAAATTTACAAGATAAAACATAGGCTATTTGAATGTCATATACAGGAAAGCATTGCTGTCAAATACATTTTTGAAGCTGGAAAAAATGAAATTGAAACAGAGCACCTGCTACTTTAACTCATTTAAACAAAAAACCAAAATGTTCTTTACTTGCTGACTGGAAATACTGTATTTTCAGAGAAAAGAAAGTGCTAATCTAAATGGGACAAAATGTAATGATTCACTATGCAATGATATGAAATCAGAAATCTTTTAAATTAGATATTTCAGTTTGTGGAGGGTTAGGTGGTTTTTATAAAAATGGTTTTGTTCATCAGGTGGTGCATATTTCTCTCAAATTGCAGTAAAGAGAATAAAAATCGGCTTGTCACTAAAGATTTTTTTTTATTGACATCTTTAGCTTGTCTTCATGCCAGTAATTAAATTGCTAATTATGTGTTTCTGTTACTGTGGTCATGCTTTTATTACATAATTGCTTCAAGTTTAGCTCAAATCACTAACAATATTTATTTAACCTTTTTGTGCATTAGATAAATTTTAATATATAAAAGCTTTGGAACGAGTTCATTGACTCTGTTATGATTAGCAAAATCAAAAGGATTCTAACCTTTTTTATAGTTACATGAGTTGGTCATGTTTTCTGTGAGATTGCTTATAATTATTAATTCGAGCAATAGCAATCATTGAAGTAGAAGAGAAAAAATACAAAGAAAACTTTATAAAAACCTCAGGTACATTCCAGAAAAATAAAATGATCTAGTTTGACATAATTGAAAATATAAAATTAGTAATTTGATTTTTAATATATGTCCATGTTTTTCAAAAACATATTTGATTAAGTTGTGGATAATTCATTTACTAAGCTGCGGCCATGCCAACCCCCGAATGTAGGTGTAATTTTTGTCAGTGTCTCAATGTATTCATAAATTTTTCTCATTTGTTTATTTTATGCAAACCGTAAGAGACATTTTTCTCAGTGAAGATTGCCTCTTTATTTTATTTTGAAATATTTGTATATTTATTTCATTAAATGAGATAATGCTTTTTCTTATTAACATAATTTCCAGTACATTAAACATATTTCTCCACAGACAGAAGAGAGGAATCAAATTAAATGACAGCTAAATTACTTGCAGCAATTTCAACCATTAAAAGAAATAAGTATCTCTGTTTTCTTTGTGATCACAAGATGTGCTGTAAAGGGAAATGAAATACTAAAGAAAGAAAGGAAAACATAAAGAAATAATGACTGACTTATTGCAGTAATACCATTGAGAGAAGAAAAATTCACTACAAATAAAAGGAAAAATAATATAGTGGACTTGAAAGTTACCAAAATTCATTTCTTATTGATGAGTTCAGTGGAAGCTTAATACTGAGTAAACTGATGAAAAAAATCAATGCGATAAACTATGAATGATGAAAGTTGAAATAAATACTTTTCCTATGAAAGACTATTATTCTAAATGTCTTTAATTTTTAGTAATTCATGTCTTTATGTTTACAAAAAAGGAGGCATTATTGCTTGGTAGACTCAAAAAATGCATGTAAAAAGCATCTACTAGAATCCCATATTTAGTAATAAGTCCAAATGATATTGGTGACCTTCTGATTTTTAGTATCATGTCTTGACTTTAGGTGTATTAGGGGGAAGTGAGCTAGAATTTTAAAAGCCATGCTGACAAAGGATGCTTATACATTTATACAGCATACTTACTCTATTGAGGACAAACTGCTTTCCAAAAAGATAATTAATCTTTGGATCATAGAAAGCAAAGCTCAGTGTATATATTATATATACATGTATACAGCATGCTTGTGAAAATTCTGGGGGACAGTGATGATAATTCTTGACAAAATCAACATTACCACACACATGCACATGCATACGTACGCGTGTGTGCATGTTTATGTCAGTCAAGTTGTTAATGTGTTCAAGTCAGAGCATACAGGTTACCTGGATCTGAGTGTTTGCAGGTGGGCTTATCCACTTACTTTCTCTTTTCACACATCATTTAAAAAAAAGCTAGTTAATTTAATCAACACAATCAGAAGGCAGTCAATTAAGTAGAGAAAAAAAAATAATCATTCCGGTCATTTTTACTGAATTGGTTCTGACTGAATTAACCTTCTAAATACAGTTGATCTTGTAGTCTGCTCTTCTCCAATGCCTATATCTCTTTCTTCCCTTCCTCTCCCCCAGTTCATCTACATCCTGACATTTCACTCTCTTTCTCTCCCTTTTGTCCTCTTCTTGGCTTTTTATTGGATTCTTCTTCTTTCCTTCAACATGTTAAGAAGCCTTTTCCATTGGCCCATATTCCCATTCACTCTCCTCTCTCCCCTTCCAACACACATGTACCTTACCTGGCCCCATGGGAAAAAAAATGCTAAAGTTGATTTTTCTTGTTTTGACTTACAGATGTTTGAAACTATCGCTTTGCTGACAACATCTGACTGCCACGCTAGGATGTGATGCTTAAGGTAATAATTGTGATTTTTTCCCACCTTTAGAGACCTCTTGATCTGAAAGGTTCTTGGGTCCCCACTTGGTATAAAGTTTTGGCCATCTCTTGGACTATTTTCTCCTCAGTACAAAGCCTTTGTGAAGGTGTGCGGAAGCTGCAAGGCAAGCAGTTTTGTGAGGAGTTAGGGGTGCAATGTTAATGTTCAGGAATCCTTCTCTGTGCCCACTTTGGAAATACTTCCTCTTATCTTTCATTCAGGATGCAGGGGATAAGGCAAAAGTGCAGGCCACATGCAAGAGATTTTGAATTATGCATTAAGCTGATAATGCCCCAGAATGCAAGCTTATGTCAATAAATAACTAGGCTGGCAGGAGGAAGGCAGTCACCTTACCAGTGCGGAGGGTACCACATAGGGAGAGAACTAGAGGAAGACGAGGTGAAGGGTGAAAGGCGCTCACATCCTGTTAGCTTGCTCTGATGAAGAAGCAAGAAGAGTAAGTTAATATTGAAATTATTGTCTAATGCCTAGCTGCTTTTAAATGGATTTAGCCAAGTTAACAAGACAATCTCTAAGGTGGGCCCTGTGTGTTCAAGGTTGCATGTGTGACAGGGTTAGCCCTTCTGTGGAGCTGTATGTAAAGAAATTCTGTCTGCAGAGAAATTCATGAATTCCTTAATGGGACCCATACATTCTTTAAAAAGGCAAGAAGTTTTGTGGCGAAATTCGGCAAAATTCATAACGGGACACTCAAGGTTTTGTTTTACCGGTATTCTTTTCTGATTGTGTCATAGAAAAGCAGTAAAAGCTAAGCAAGTGGAAGAAGCAGGATTAAAAGAATGCTATAAATTATGTCCCTGGCACATGATACAGGACTATCCAATGCTGATGAGAAATGATTCTTTAATCTTTGTGTTGCTTCTCTTGCTTTAGTAAAATGCATCAATAAACATGACTCTCTTCTGTGAGAAATGAACAGTGGTGCACATGCCAGCATATACCTGCACATGCACATGCACTATTTAAAAAAATATTTAGTCCTGTTTCTCATGGAAATGGAAAGTGTCTGGGTGTGTGGGCACTGGGAGATGGATACTTGAACCTTTATCTATTTTTTCGTTACCAAAAAGAAGAAGGAATTTCATATGCATTTTACCATTTTCTTAGTTTTAGACAGCAATTTGCAGCCCCTGGTTATGCAATCTGAAGCTTTTGCTCAGATTCTCTTAGCAATGTGTGCATTTGCGAGGCCAGTTCTATAGGCCCACATGCATATACACACTGGCAAATTAAAAATGGACCTGGGAAAACACCCTTCTCCTAGGAGAGTCATATCAAGCAGTGTTTAAATTAAATAATTTGCAGAGTGTGGGGAATAAAGCTTTGTAGCAGTATCTGGAGGTTATCTTCCCTTGGGAAATTTCTGCCATTTAGTACAATCTGGTGCATGCCAATGAGACACACACTCATGCATACACACACTAGTAGATGTATTTTATTTTACATCTAAATTATATTTATTTCTGTAGGTTATCTGCCATTTTATGTTCATGTCGAGGAGAAAAAAAAGAGACAAACTTCTTGTGAAGGGTTGAGGTCATTAAGATCCAAACAAAAGCGAGGAAAGGTTATTGAGCAGACATGAGGGAGGGCTGACTCTGGCATAAAGCCATTTACCCCACAGCTTCTGGGGAGCATGGCTGTGATTGGGAGACTGATCAAGCTCAGGTCACTGATTTTGCTCCTAGCCCGTTGACTGATGGTAAAAGGGGAGCCATTGTTGTGGTGAGATAATGTGAGTAGGTAAGCCACAAGTAGCTGAAATTAGTTGATGTCTTGCTTCTTGTCCCGCTTCGGCAATATCAAAGCCAAATTGCATGTGAAGGAGTTTGTCGGTTAGAACGTCATGCTATGTCTCTAGTTAATGCATTGCTCTATAACTGAATGTATTCTTAGCCTAAGCAGCATACCTGTCCACCTGTGGAGAGAATGAAGCCTGTCACATGTAAGGTTGTTGAATGAAATGTTAACAGGAGAAGAGAGGGTTAGAGGGAGAGGGAGAGAGAGAGAGCACACAAGCAGAAGATAGCTACCTCTGTACAGGTAATTTTAAAAGCTCCTGTTTACAAAAAGTGGGAGAGGCTCACCTGAAAATAGTTATTTTTTCCATTTCCAAGATTATTTTTGTACCCTTTAGACTCTCACTTTTATCTTTTATGTGAGAAAATTCTTGCAAATTACTAGTAGCCAGTGTAGAAGCTGTGAGTTACAGTGCAACTCTCCGTGAATCCCGCATTCCGGCTCCCCCAATTCTTTGATAAAAATACTGGTGTATGTTAGTTTGCTTGGGCTGCCTGAAAAAATACCATGGACCAGGTGGCTTAAATGCAGAGATTTATTTTCTCACAGTTCTGAAGGCTGGAAGTCTGAAATCAAGGTGTTGGGATGATCGGTTTCTTCTGAAGCCTCTTTCCTTGCTCTGCAGATGACCATATTCTTGCTATGTTTCTCACATGGTCATTCCCCTTTATGCACAAATTTCATCTTCTTCTAAGGACAGCAGTCACATTGGATTAGGGCGCATCCTAAAGATCTCATTTTAACTTAATTAGCTCTTTAAAGCTCTTATCTCCCAATACTGTTACATTCTGAGGTACTGGGGCTTAGGACTTCAACATATGAATTCAGGGGAACAGAATTCAGACCATAACAAGTAGACTTTCCAAGACAGTTGGTAGAACTCTAATTTTTAAATTTGTTTTTGCTTGCTTATTTAGAGATTTATTCTTCCCACTTTCCTTCTCTTCTGCATTTTTATTAATACTGGACTGAAAGTAATTTGTTACAATGATTCTAGGTGGATGTGTTTTGTTGTTTTAAGAAGAACAGTTTGGGGAAAGAGATAGAAAGCTTATTTAAGAAAACAAATCTTACTTGATTTTTTTTCTTTTAAATTCAAACCGGCTCCGCTATGTTCTCTGACCTTAGCAAGTTACTCAGCCACACTCTGCCTCCTATTTCTCCTCTGTATACTGTGGATAATAAAAAGAACCTTTTCAAAAGGTTGCTGGGAGGATTAATTGAGATAATACATGTAAAGTGTTTAACATGGTCCCTGGATCACAGTAAGTGCTCCGTAAATAGTATTTATCCAATAACCATAATAACCACAGACACTTAACAGAATTCTATGTTGTGCACTGGTGCTGGACAAAATGTAATACCCTTTCTGAATTTCATTTGATTACAGACTTATTTCGTGCTTTTAGAAGTGGAGCTAGGAGCAAATTCTTTTTAAAAATTATTTAAGTGGACTTTGACAGAGGCTTGGACTCGCAAAGTGTAGATAAAGCACAATCAGGCTTTATTGTCATCTCCTGTCTCACCAAACCAAAAGAAAGATCTTTGGTTGATAAGTAGAGTTAGAAAAACAGAGGAGAAGAGTGAGTGGCTGGGTCTTCTGATACCTTGTGGAACCCAGTTTCTTCTCTGGAGAAACTCAACCTGTGCAGCATGAATGGACAGACTTGGCAGGTGCCCGGTGGTCTTGCAGAGGGACCAGTCACCAGGCCCTCTCTTTGTCCACGGGAGACAGTGGCTTTCTAGCCTGGGAGGCCCAAGCACATTGGACCACTGGATATTCAGAGCTGGGATGTCAGACAGAGGTTACCCATAAGCCTTTCAATATGTGTAGTTAAGAACCAAACACATTCTTTGATTAAGTGAAACATTGCCAGTAACACTGAAAAGGCTCTATGTACTGCAATTGACTTGTATCAACCAACACTTTTAAGACTCTCAGGACCAGGTGCCATGGCTCAGGCCTATACAGCACTTTGAGAGGCTGAGGCAGGAGGATCATGTGAACCCATGTTCAAGACCAGCCTGAGCAACATAACGAGAAGCCATCTCTAGTTTAAAAAAAAAATTGCTGGGTGTGGTGGTACATGTGTGTACCACATGTAATTTAATTAATTAAATTAAATTAATTATATAATTTAATTATATATATATATATTTTTGAGACAAGGTCTTGCTGTGTCGTGCAGGATGGAATGCAGTGATCATGGCTTTCTGGGCTAAAGGATACTCCTATCTAGGCTCTTTATATGTCTTAGCTCATTCAGTATTTTCTAAAACCCAATAAGACAGTACGTTTTCTCACATTTAGGATGCACAATGAAGTAAAAAAGGATTGCTGGGTTTCAAATGCAGGCATTTGGGCTGCATTGCAATCTATGACAGTAACTGGTATACTTGAACAGGAACAAGAATCACTTGGAGAAGTTATAAAAACCGTATTTTCATACTATACATAAAAATAAATTCCAGAGATATTCAAAATCTAAACTTTAAAAACTATAAAAATATAAACAGGTAACACAGATGATTTTTTATAATTGTGAGTTGGGAAAGATCATTGTAAAGAACAGACAAAAACCTGCATGTTTACGTTATATACAAATTAAACATCAAGTAGTGAGTTTTCAGAAAGTAATAAGAAGATAAATCACACAACAGAAAAATGAGTGTAGGATATGAATGATATGAATGAGCAATTAATAGAAGAAATAAGAATGGCTAATAACCATTTGAAATGAAGCAAAAAATGAAAATTTAAAATGAGATAACCATTTTTAATACATTGGATTGGTAAAACTTTATGAAAAATATTTAGCATCCATGAGTTGTGAAGAAATGGGTCCTCTTATACTGTTTGTAGGTGAGAGTAGAAAATGATACAGCCTTTTGGAATGGCAGTTTTTCATTATCTATTACAATTTAAAATGCACTGATCTTTGATACAGAAATTCATTTCTAGGAATCTATACTGCAAAAACACTTGTGTATAAATGAAGATAAAGTGTGAGAATCTCTGTGGAAACATTGCTCTCTCTTTTAATAAAGCTAACTAATAAGTAGGAAAAATATTAAAAGCAAGGCAAAGGCTAAAATAATTATGATATAAATCATAATAAAATTCCATAATATAAACTATGAAATACTATATAGCCATT